GGAAGTAATGGTGATGAGGAAGAAGTTGGGTTTAAGATGAGCAGTTACAATTTAATGATGATGATGGTGGTGTGTGCACACTGAAAGTGATATTGGTTTGAGTGATGTAGAGTTGGGGATATTGAGAGAGATACAGATGATATGGCAAATGGTGGACTACTGTCAGACTATCAGTCAAATAGTGAGGGTGGGGAGCATGTAGATTCTGATGATGAGCTTGAGGATGACCATTGGATGCTTCACTTTGTGGTAAAATATTCAATGTCAGGGAAGGTGAAAAAATTGAATTTGAGACAGGAATGTTATTTCCAAACATCAATGCATTTAGAGATGCATTGAAAGAGTATGTGATTAAAGAGGATTCAAATTGGTCAGAGATAAAAATGAAAAGAAGAGGGTAACAGCACACTGTGGTGTTGAGGGATGCCCTTGGAGGATACATGCTTCTCTTTTACCTGATATGCTTACTTACAAGATAAAGACATATAATTTTATCCATAGTTGTGTTAGGAATTCCAAACCCAAGGAAGCAAATGCCCCATGGATTGCCAAAAAACTAGTGAATATGTTGAGGGTCAATCCTAACATGACAGTTTCAAGAATGAGGGAAGAGTTGAAAAATATATGGAGTGCAACCTCCTAGGATGCAATTGTATAGGGCAAAAAAGAAGGCTCTAGAATGGATTCAGGGTAACCATGGAGATTCGTATGGAAGACCGCCTACATATGCTCATTTGGTGAATCAAACAAACCCGAGTAGCATTGTGAAGATCCATTACCAACTGGATAACTTGGCAGCTTCTCCATCTTTCAAGAGAATCTTCATTGGATTCGCTGCTCTTAGGCAAGGTTTCATAAATGGGTGTAGGGCTTTCTTAGGTTTTGATGGGTGCCACTTGAAAGGGCCTTATGGAGGTGTGCTTTTGTCCGCGGTTGGACTAGATGAAAATAATGGTTTGTTTCCAGTTGCATTTGCTGTTGTGGAAGCAGAGACAAAGGACAGTTGGTGTTTTTTCTTTGAGTGGCTCAGTGAAATGTTAGATGGGTTCCCAGAGGTTAAGTCATGCAACTTCATGACTAATAAACAGCAGGTATTTTGTTTCTTTTTTTTAATACTTCTTTATGCAATTTCATATGTACTTATCGTTCCCCAATGCTTTAAAACGCTTATGCATGCAGGGTTGCAAGGAGGCCATTAATCAAATTGTGCCACATGCCTTTAGTAGACATTGTTGTAGGCACATTTATAATAATTTTAGGGCAGCCTTCTCTGGGATATAAGGAGCTTATTCTGGAAGGCTGCAAGAGCGTACACTCAACAAGACTTCAATTCTGCCATGGAGAAAATTAAGGAAGTGAAGCCTGAAGCATTTGCATGGCTTCTAAGGATGCCTACCTCAATGTGGGCAAGGCATGCTTTTGACACTTCTGTGAAAAGTGACCATGTGACAAACAATTTGAGTGAGTCATTCACTAACTGGGTTGGGGAGTTAAGGGAAAAACCTATACTAATTTTGCTAGAAAGTCTGAGGGCAAAACTCATGAGTAGGTTGCAAAAAAAGTTTGAAAAGGCATGTACTTGGTATAACTCTGTGACACCGAAAGTTGTAGAGAAGTTGAATGCCATCAAGCATGAATCAAGAAAATGTACCCTCTTATTGGCTGGTCATGATGAATTTCAAATCACAAATGGATTATTTGATTATATAGTTGATATTGGTAAGAGGACTTGTGAATGTAGAGTTTGGGATATCAGTGGCATACCTTGCAAGCATGTTTCTGTTGGCATTGCATATAAGAGGCAAAACCTTGAAGATTTTTGTGATCCATGCTATTACAAGGATACATATCTCAAGGCTTATGGTGAAATGATTCACCCAATTCCTGATGTCAAGTTATGGCCTCAGTTAGATGTCATCTTTCCATCTCAGCTTTCTCCACCACCATTAAGAAGACTCCCCGGAAGGCCAAGGAAAAATAGAAGAAGAGAGGTAGATGAAGCTGCCCTATCCACTCGGTCTAAAAGATCTTGTACTGTTCGATGTGTAAATTGCAAAGAGTATGGCCATAATAAGAGGACGTGTCAAAGGGGTCCAATTAGGATAAGAAAAGGTCAAAGAAAAAGATGGACTTCAGATGTGAGTGTAAACTTATCAATTGTATTTAGCTTACATGTATGCTTTTTTTTTTCTTTAACTAAAAACTTGATAATGGTTGTTTGTAAGTTGGATCAAGCTCTAACCCTGGGCAACGAAGTGGTGATGGTGTTACTAATAATGCAACAATGGTACACATAGTTGCATTATTTATGTCAACCTATTATCCATGCTCACAAACATGTGTGATAGTTCCTAGTTTGGATAGTTTATGCTCAAGAAAATTTAGTGTTGTTGTGTTTGATTATTTTAGTGTTGTTGTGTTTGGTTCTTGAAATGACATGGAGGGGCTTTGGTTATTGTTGTTGTGCTTTGGTTATTGTTGTCATGTTGATGTTAGTTTGGTGGACAGGGATGTGGAACTGGAACTAGTGTAGGTGGTCAACAAGAAGGTGGAACTGGAGCTACTGCAAATGGCCCACAGGGAGGTGGGCAAGTAGGTGGAATTGAAGCTATTGCAAGTGGTCGGCAAGGAGGTGAAGCTATAACTACTGCTACTGGTCAAATTGCTTCTCAATCTTCTACAACTAATGCTAATAGAACTGATTCATTTCAGGTATAGTGAAATGACCTTTGGTAAAATTGTTAAATGCATTAAATCACATACATGCTGGAAATGTATTGAATTTGGGTTAGTGTGATCGTAGAGTCAAAGTCGTTCAACTGAGATTGTGTTCCAAATGTTCGGTTCAAGAAGGGCATCTTAGCTCCTTGGAAATGCAAGAATGGAAGGTTTGGAAGCTATGCTAGGCAAGAAGGTTTGGACATTCACCTTTATAGTTAATCTTATATGCTATATACCAAAATTTAATAAAAGCAAATGATCATATGACTAATATGTTCACATTACTAATACATTTTTCAGGGATAAGGAAAGAAAAAAATTGTCTTCAAGGACTAGAGTAACAGAGACAGTCACTCAAGAAAGGAGTAGCAGAGGCAATGAACCTGCTGCAACTGAAGTGGCAGTGGAGTCTGAACATGCAATATTCTAATTTTCTGGGCATATGTTTCTAGCTGGGAAAATTGCTTTTGTTGTTGGCATGGTTTAATTTGAGTAGGTAGGGGCTTTTGTTGGTAGTTTATCTTTTGTATGGTTTATTGAAAGTGCTTAGGTGAAAGGCCTATTTTTTTGGATGCTTGCATATATTTTTGGCTCCCTGCATATTTGGATGCCTATGTAGTTGATGTAAATGTAAATTATGTTTAGTCAACAGGATTTGTATTATGAACACTTTCAGTAATATTTGGATGATTGCTTAGTGTTTTGTTGAGTTTGTTTTATAGAATCTCTTTGATATGCAGAGTGGCATCTAATATGGCTGCACTACTTTGGCGTTATCCAAGGTTGCTGGATCAGGTTTTAGACTTATTGCAGAATATGAATTTTCAACTGATGCATATTTTTAGAGAGGTCAATGGTATAGCAGACAGGTTGTTTTTGGTTGTGTTTCTATTAGGTGTTTTTGCCTTGGTTTTGCTTCTTGTAAATTTCGGTTGCAAGTGGTGAGAAGGATGAAAATGTTTGCAGGCTTCTACCATAGTGGGTCTGATGGTACTGCACTGGATTGTAAGAAACCTTGTATTCTTGTTTTGTTTTGAAGGATTAAAGCCACTTAATGCTTTAGTCCTATTTGATTCTTGTAATTCTTTGAAATTCATGAAATAAAATTCTTTATTTCTTAAAAAAAAAATCAATTTTTTTGTAAATAAATAAAATTAAAAAAAAAATTTGGCAGCACTAGTCTTTATAGACAATGCTCCAACGGTAATAAAATGAGAAGTTCGCTGGGCAGCATGACCTAGTGCTAGTGGGATCCATATAAAGGGTAGATTGGAAAATTAATTTTATATGTTAGAATGTTGTCATGAAGTTATAACGGCACACAGTAACAGAGAATGGTGGTGGGGGTTATGTGTTACACGCGCAAAAATTTCAGGAGGTCTAGGTGTAATATGTCAAACCTCGGGAGTCTAAATGATTAAGTGACAAACCTCAAGGGGTCTCAATATAATTTATCCTTTATTCTAACCAAATTCATATAAAAAAAATAATATTTTCTTTTCTTTTTCATTTGTTTCACTTCTCTTTCTTTCTTTTTAACTTTCCATCATGTTTTTTGGTTTAAAGAAAATGGCCCTTAAGGATTCAGGTCCAAAGACTTCTTCCTTTGAATTCACTATTGTTACTGACTTAAGGTACACATACTTGAGCATTAAAGTGTCTCTGGCCAATTCCCCCGCTAGCCTTTGACAGTAAGGTCATTTTGCAGGCTAGGAAAAATCCCAAATAGAGCTCGTTATCCTGATAAGTACGGATTTTTCCGAGTGCAGCAAGGGTAGGCTGCCTAGATAAATCATGGGCATCAACATTACTTCAAGAGACCTTCCTGATCCCACAAATCTCAAAATCTAAAGCTGGAAGCTGGGTATCCGAAAATTTGACTTAGAAAGGTGAATTAACTTTATGTTCAATCCGAATCACAACCATTTTACAGACACAAAGGACAACTCTAGAATTGTCATAAAATAGTTATTTCGATTGTTAGCCTCATTATGAGAAAAACGAAAGTCTTACGCTCACTGTGCTGAGACTTTGTTGCGAAACAAAATCGGAAAATGTGGAAACCACAGTGTCACAAGGGGAATAGACCACATAAAGACATTCTCTCTTTCAATGCAACATCGTAGCTCATTATGTTGCTCAGTCAACTCCATAGATAAACAAACACACACAGTCAACTCCAAAAATACACACACACACACACACAGAGAGAGTCAACTGACCGCCACTGAAAAAGCCATCTGCCACCGAACATTCAACCGACCACCGGCCAAACCGGTAGACCTCTTCTCAACCGACATCGTTTTCTCCTCCGACACCTCACCTTTCCCCAAAATGGCGTCGTTATACTTAACATCCGAAACTCCGCCGGGCACTCCGCTCTCGTCGACCTCTCATTCCGGCGATTGAGTTCAATCCGCCGTCGAACTCCGGCGTACTTGGGGTCTCGAACAGGGACCGAAATCGTAGGCGAAGTGTTCTGAAACAACGTCGGTTTAGGGGGTTTGGAGACTCTTGGGTATGAAGAGAAGCGTCTAGTGGGGGTTTTGGAGATGTCAGAGTTTGAAGAGTGGATGTAGGACGGCGATGGGAAGAACCAGTCCCTGCTAGTGGAAGGAGACTCAGAGTCCAGGGACATGATTGGTATTATGGAAGATGTTGGGGAGTTTGATGGTTTTGAATTGATCACTGGGTGTTCCATTCGATGTATATGCACATGTTATAACTTTAGGATGGGTTTCGAGACACTATTGTCGATGATTAATGATTGATTATAAAAATAAGTAGGTAAGATAATAAAATGTAAAACTTATTTGGCTTGTGTTTTAAAAAATAATATCTAAAAAAAATATAATTTTTGAGAAAAGTTTTAAAAAATAATTTTGATATTTTTTTAGATAAAAAACTTGTTTGATTAGATCATTTCAAAAACAATTTACAATATAAAAAATAGAAAATAGTAAAACATGTTTAGACAATCTAAATATATATTTGAACAGTAATTCAAACATTAATAAAAAAATATAAAAAATTTATTTTTAGATTGACAATTTCATAAAAAAAAATACAATAAACTAAACTTTAAAATATATATATATATATATATATATATATATATATAAATACATATAAATATATATATAAATACGTATAAATATATATATATACATATTTATTTATATATACGTATATTTATACATATATATATATATATAAAATTTATTTGTATATATAAACTCATATCTGAATATTCAAAATCGTTCTCCTTTTTTCCAAAATTTTCAAAGAAAAATCTGAAAACAAACTATACTTATTTTATGTTTCTTTGACTCAAATCTCATTTTTTTTCAAAATTTAGAAAACAAAAATGATAAACAAACAGGTTTTTGGTGTTTTTAAAATTTTGAGAACAAAAAACTGTTTCCGGAACACAAACCAAATATGACCCAACTTTCTTGTGGTAATTTTCAATGCAGGGTAGCTAAGATACTGCATCAAACCAATTCAAAAGATTGTGTGGTGGATTATAAACACACCGTAAAAGTGCATTAAAAAAATTCTGGACAACAGAATGAAGAGTATTTTGGCTCATCTTATTAGTTCTACTAAAGTTGCTTTCATAAAAGATAGGAAAATAGGTGTAGGGGTGCAACTCGGACAGGTTAGTGCGGGTTGAGAGATCAGCTCTAGTCCAATTGTAAGTATATAATCCTCAATCCTGACCCTAACCCGATTTCAACTTGAGGTACTCCACCCAAGTATTGCTCGAGTTTAATTTGGGCGGACTTAAGTTAAATTTGGGTTACTTAATTAGGACTGATTTTGAGTTAATAATTGGGCTAGACTTGATTTACTTAATTCGAGTTGATAAAAGAGAGAGAAGTGATGAGTGTGAGAGTGAGACTGAAAGTCTGAGAGCAGATGAGAAACAAGTGATGAGTGATAGAGGAATCTGAGAGTGATGGAGGCGCAAGGGTGAAGATTTGAAGTAAAGTAAAAGTTTGGATTCTGAAGAGTGAAAATAAATTATAACCCTAGTTAAATATATTTATATATTTATGTATATTCGGGTTCAATCCGATTTAATCCGAGTATTGCCCGAGTTTAATTTTGGGTGGGCTCGGGTTGAATTCGGGTTACTTAATTTGGGCTGATTTCAGGTTAATAATCAGGCTGGGCTCAAATTACTAAATTCGGGTTGATAAAAGAGAGAAATGGTGAGTGAGTGAGAGAGAGAGAGAGAGAGAGAGAGACCGCAAGTTTGAGACGAGACTCAGACGAGTGAGAGAGGGAGACAAAGAGTCTAATATCAAATGTGAAACGAGTGACAAGTGAAAGAGGGATCTAAGTGTGATGGAGGCGCAGGGGGTGAAGACTTGAAATGAAGTGAAAGTTTGGATTTTGAAGAGTGAAGATAAATTATAATCCTAGTTAAATATATTTATATATTATATGTATATTCGAGTTTCACCCAATTTAATAATTAGGTTCAACATGATTTAACCCCGAGTATTGCCCGAGTTTAATTTGAACGGGCTCAAGTTGAATTCAGGGTACTTAATTCAGGTTGATTTTGGGTTAATAATTGGGTTGAGATTGGGTTACTTAATTCAGGTTGATAAAAGAGAGAGGAGTGATGAGTGTGAGAAGGAGACTGAGAGTCTGAGAGCAGATGAGAAACAAGTAACGAGTGACAGAGGAATCTAAGAGTAATGGAGGCGCAAGGGTGAAGACTTGAAATAAAGTAAAAGTTTGGATTCTGAAGAGTGATGATAAATTGTAACCCTAGTTAAATATATTTATATATTTATGTATATTCGGGTTCAACCCGAATTAATCCAAGTATTGCCTGAGTTTAATTTTGGGTGGGCTCGGGTTGAATTCGGGTTACTTAATTTGGGCTGATTTTAGGTTAATACTCAGGCTGGGCTTAAATTACTAAATTCGGGTTAATAAAAGAGAGAAGTACTGAGTGAGAGAGAGAGAGAGAGAGACTGCGAGTCTGAGATGAAACTCAGATGAGTGAGAGAGGGAGACTGAGAGTCTGATATCAGATGTGAAACGAGTGACGAGTGAGAGAGGGATCTGAGTATGATGGAGGCATAGGGGTGAAGACTTGAAGTGAAGTGAAAGTTTGGATTCGGAAGACTGAAGATAAATTATAACCCTAGTTAAATATATTTATATATTTGTGTATATTCAAGTTCCACCCAATTTAATAATCAGGTTCAACATGATTTAACCCGAGTATTGCCCGAGTTTAATTCGAGTGGGCTCGAGTTGAATTCAGGGTACTTAATTCTGGTTGATTTTGGGTTAATAATCGAGTTGAGCTTGGGTTACTTAATTCGGGTTGATAAAAGAGAGAGGAGTGACGAGTGAGAGAGAAAAGCTGAGAGTCTGTGACGAGACTCAGATGAGTGAGAGAGGGAGACTGAGAGTCTAAGACCAGATGAGAAATGAGTGACGAGTGAGAAATGGATTTGATAGTGATTGAGGCATAGGAGAGAAGACTTGAAATGAAGTGAAAGTTTGGATTCTGAAGAGTGAAGATAAATTATAACTCTAGTTAAATATATTTATATATTTATGTATGTTCGAGTTCAACCCGATTTAATAATCGGGTGCAACCCGATTTTAATATTTGGGTTGAACCCGACAACTTGAGGCTTCAACCCAAGCCTTGCCTGAATTCAATTTGGGTTGGGAGTTTTTTGCCCAGGCCAAACCCAAGTATTAAAAATTCTACTTTAAGCCTTGTTTTTTTCGGGTTGGCCCACCCAAGTTGCACCCCTACATAGGTGACAACATACTTCTTGCTCAATAACTCATGAAGGGTTACTGTAGAAATAACATATCTCCCAGATGTGCTATCAAAGTGGATTTGAAGAAAGCTTATGACTCAATTAGGTGGGATTTTTTGCTTGATGCTTTAGAGTTAATAAAATTTTCACCTAAATTCATTTAATGGATTAAGTCCTGCACTCTTAGGGCATTTTTGTTTACGGGTTGCTCACCTTTTGAATAAAGGGAAGAGGGATAGCAGATCGCTATGCCACATGGGATGGGCATGGGAAACCATACCAGAGAATTAGGGATTAGTAAAAGGCCGGGAAAAGTATGGTTTTAACAAAAGTTGTTAGGAATTGAATTCTTTTTATTGGAAAACTTGGGGTTAGGAAAGGTAGGAGTAGTCAGCCCTTATCTCATTCCTTTCTAAAGTCAGGAATATAGGGCCAGATAAGAAGCTTCAGAAAATGTCATCCCTTACGCGGCAAGTTCACCATAATTTTGGGTAAATTACACTTTATCTTTTTGAACTATTTCCTTTGTTTCACTTTACACCTCTAATTATAAAAATCTCACATTGCACCTCAAAATATCAATTTTATTTTATATCATTCCAATAGATAACAGTTGTCAATTTTTTGACGATAAATGTGCATGTGAGTGGTCTGTACTATTAATAAACAACTATCTATTGCAGATGTGTAGGTCAAAAACCAAGAAAAATACTCATTCATGACTTTGATCTTCCTAAGTTCCAAATTTTCTTCCTCTGCTTGACTTTTTTTTTTCCTTCCCAGCAACTGTTTGGTTGAAAAAAAGATAAACTAAGGTGGAAGCTACTCGACGAGAAGCTATTTGGAGTTTCCTTCCCTCCTTTGATAGATTTTCAATTTTTTTGTTATTTATTGGACTGATATGAAATAAAATTAATACTTTAGGGAGCAATATGAGAAATTTTATAGTTGAGGGTACAAAATAAAACAAAGATAATAGTTCAAGGGGTTAAAGTGTAATTTACTTGACAATTTTGGAATTAGGTTCATGCACCAACTTTTTCAGACCAAAAGACTATAAGCACAGTAAATTACCTATTTACTTGACAAGTAATTATGTTCCTACTATCGTGAGTGTATCTCATGAAGAAAAGCCCAAGAAATTTAGTAGCTCGGATTTCAAATGTTGACAACAAAATGTTTTTCTATCTCACCACCTTAAACCATGCAAAGTTTCTAAATGAATATGTCGCTTCACTTGGCACAGATGAAACTAATAAGGAAAATGTGACTATTGTGAATGCTTGGAAGCATTCATATTTCTTATGTAAAAATTATATCTTGAACGGATTGGACAATGCATTATACAATGTGTATAATGTTGTCAAATTTGCGAAAGAATTTCGGCAGTCTTTGGACAAGAAATACAAGATTGAAGATGTTGGTACGAAGAAATTCATTGTTGACAAATTCTTGTATTATAAAATGGTAGATTCAAAGACTATCATAACCCAAGTTCAAGAACTTCAAGTTATCCTTCATAACATCCATGTCGAAGGTATTGTTCTTAGTGAGTCATTCCAAGTGACAGCAATCATGAAAAAATTACTACCACTTTGGAAAGATTTCGAGAATTATTTCAAGCATAAAGGCAAGAAGATGAAACTTTAAGAATTGATAGTTCATTTGAGGATTGACGAAGATAACCTCAAATCTGAGAAGAAAAAATGGAGTCTTTCATTCTATGGATTCTAAAGTCGACATTGTGGAAGATGGAACAAAGACTAACAAAAAGAGAGTATACTGATGAAGGTCCAAATTAATGATCTAAGAAGTTCAAATGCAAGTGCTATAACTGTGCAAACCTGGACATCACTCTAAAGAATGTAGTAAGCCAAAGAACTTCAAGAAGTCAAAT